CTGCTAGGATATGGGTAATACGGATCCTAGATTAGAGGTGATTCCATTACAGAGTACAATCCATTAGCAGCCCTTCTGTTTTTCTTGCACAAACATCCCTTTGAAATTTTTGTTTCTTTCAATTGCATACGTTAACAATAATTGTTTAGGTCTGGTTTGCTGCAAAAATTAACTGCAGCAAATGTTGCAATGGAAATTGCTGCCATTCGGTAGACATCATAATTCGTGTCATAAGCCAAGGTGATCCGTACTTTCGCTACATAGTTGTATTTCCAGTGGATGCCCTCGTACGTACCATTTGAGAACGGAGTCCCCTTGTTTCACGAGGTGCTTCAGTTCTGAGGAATGAATGGTGAACCGTGCAATTAGATATCAGTTAGATATCTGTATGGGAGCTTGACTCTGGGATTTGCATCCTTCCCGCCTTTTTTTAGCTTTGCCAGTACAGAAGTCATGGCGAACTTGTCATAACCTCCTCTGAGTACCGGTGATATCATAGCCCGAAGTAAACCCAATGGGCTGACCGTGCACGAGAACTATTGCAGGACACAATACCTTGACTGATAAGCAATCGCTCGGCTGGGAGGGTGTAACACATTTCTATAGCCATACAGCCAAGAAAGAAGCCAGTGCGGTATTTGGAAAAAGATTGTGTGTTGAGCCAGCCAGCGAAACGGAAGGAAGCACTACAAGAAATTACATCTTTAACGAAGGGATTTCCCTTCGTTAAAGCACTGAAAACCTTCGTTATTGTATGCTAACGACGGGGAAAAATCCCTTCGTCACCCGTTGTTGAAGCCCTCTTCGCTAAAGGGTCATGAAGGGATATACTACCCGTCGTTATAGAGTCTATAACGACGGAACATATTACCGTCGTTAATATTTACGACGGTAATTATCACCGTCGTTACCATCAGTAACGGAGATATTTTTTCGTCGTTACCATCAGTGACAGGATATTTTCCCGTCGTTACCGTTAGTTACGGGGATATTTTCCCGTCGTTACCATTAGTTACGGGGATATTTTCTCATCGTTAAAGACTAATTAATGACGGTTGGATACCGTCGTAAAAGTCCTCATAATGGGTAATTAGTAACCCATCAACGACGGTGATTTCCCTTCGTTGATGAACAAAATACGGTTTATAAAACCGTCATTATAGACTACAAATTTCTAATATACATCAATAATAATTTTTTCATCCATAGGCAACTATCATATTATTCTCAATCTGATATTAAGATTCACAACAAAAATATATTAAAAATACCCAATAATGAATAAGAGGGAAAACAAAAAATTCCATTCATTAATAACATCAATAAATAAAATTACACCATCCTCAAATATTCAATACTAATAACAAGAGTTAATATCCTAATCGTTTCAAAGAAAAATACATGAAACTATCTAAAACTAATTAAAATAAAAGTTTGTGGAAGACACATTCTTTCATCTCTAATCATCGTCAAATTAAAGAAGACTCGAGCTACCCCCCTCCTAATCTTGCATGGATAGCCTGAAAAATTTTAAAAAATCACATAATTAAGAAATATTAATGAAGCAAATATTATCTTATTAAGTAAAAATCATATTTTTTTAGTGCAAGTAGTCAATCATAAAAGTATATAAGAGATTTTACAAAAAATAATTACCTAGTCCTGCACACGTTCTTGAGTTTGAGGAGCCAATGAAGGTGATTGCCTAAAAAAAAAGTTTTTGCATAGCTTTCACTTGTGACTCCAACTCAGACATCTTTTGTTGTTGTTGCTCCTGCTCATCTAAGCGTTGTTGAAGCATCTGGTTCTTTCTCTTTTCTTCTATAACCCGTGCTTCCAGATCAGATCGACTAGGGAGCGGTCCTCTCAAATCTTTCAAAGTAGTCCCGCCACCAAATACAGTGATGTGACCATGAGATTGCTTCCCCCAGATTTTCTCAACTATCTCAATGTCAGAAAGTGAAGGGTTTGCTTGTTTGACTTGAACAATTTCATCCTATAAAAATTAAATTCGTATGTTAGTACTATATAATGCATCATTATCAAACTTAAACACATATTCTACTTACATATTTATCTTGATCCCCATTTTCTAGTGTTTCATTAGCTTTCTTTCGAGTTTCATGAAACATTTTTGCCACATCAGGTGGATTTCCTAACTTGCCACCCTTATTCAAATATTAAATACAAATGAGTACAACATCAAACTAAAAAACAAAATAGTTATAAATAAATAGGACATTATTTTTGAATGTATACCAATTCCCACGCAATTTGTCTAAAGGATTTGCTGCCCGTGTGGTGGAGCATCTTTATGTATACCAATTCCCACGCAATTTGTCTAAAGGATTTGCTGCCCGTGTGGTGGAGCATCTTTCTTTTGTCTCTGTTAAGTGTATTTTGTTGGCTTGCTTTCTATACATCAAGATTAAAAGATAATTTTAACAATCCAATAATATACATGGAACAAATTAATTAATAAAATTAGGAGATTAATACCTGGAATTTTGAAGAAAAATAATGTTCCTTAACTAGCCAATCCCAGTCATCAACACTCACTTCTGTAGGTTTATTTCTAAGTGCAACTTGCAATGAATTTTCTTTCACATATTTCCTGTGCATGTCACCACGCCACTTATTCCACAAATCGCGCAAGTGTCTCATTACTGACTCTCTCTTTTGCTCCATGTCATCAGCATCAAATTTATCCTATATCAAATTTGAATCAAAATTTAATTTATAAGAATTAAAAACCAATTGTAAAAAATTAATTTTTAATGTACCTTAATGGATGCCCACATATGATCTTTATTTTGCTGTGGTATTTTGGCCCAATTCTCAACAGCTACTAGGCAAATATTTCTATCTCGAATAATAATTCCAAGATATCGTAAAAATTCTGGTTCAATAGCTCTATTCTGATAAAAAGTAATGATTTTTTTCTCCCCATGTGACAAATTAATCAACTTTAGACACTTATTACTACCACGAGGTGGATTTTTCTTCCTTTGAGAATTATCAGCTACATACATCATATCATATGTTAGAAACAAGATATAGTTAAAGAAATTGATAAAAATATTTCTTCTTGTAATTAATAAAGAATATACCTTCTTGTTGAGATTCATTTAGTATTGCATCATCACTTTGCACTCGATGATTATCTGATTCTGCAAAAATTGAGCAATTATTAATCTAATCATAAAAAATAAATTGAAAGATAAAAGAAATAATAATAAATTTTAAGTCTCATCAACCTACAGAATCATCATTCTCTTCATTGTTAGTATTTTCACTTCTCCTGCGATTTTGTGCAAAATTCTCCTCTTCAAAGTTTTCTGAATCAGCGCTAAAATTTGCATCCATATTTTGATCTTGTGTTGGATTTTGAATATTCAAGTTCATGTCATGACAAGTACGGAGTTGTTCTCTTCTTAATGAATTTTCTGTAATTGCTTGAAGTCGCTTCCTAATTAATGACCTGGGTGCTAGAAATTGTGCCTTTTTGCTTTTGGAAGTGACTTCTTGAGTTTTCATTTTCCTGCTATGAAAAGGAATTTAAGTATTACACACTATGTATGAAACAAATATCAAAAGAGAAATGAATAAAAGAAGAAGATATCACGAAGGACAAGCATAACAATAAATACATAGTGCACTATTGTAGAAGCACTTGCTGCAATGTCGAAGCCAAATTCAAAATAGGAAGAAAAGAAACATCATATGTCTAAAAAAAGAATAGTTATAGTAAGATACAACTTAAAATTTATCTCAATAACACAATATCATTTGAGTGTCATTCTTTAATGAAAGCGTTTTAATCCTCTACTTGAGTCTTTTTCCTCTTTTTTGAAGTTGAGACCGAATTTACAATAATTGGATCAATATCACTCCTTCTCAAATTGATATAATCATCTTCCAATGATGTTGATGCAATAGCCTGAGCATCAAATGATTCATCTTGCAAATAAGCTTCAACTCCATCGTCTGTTATCCCACAATCATCTGTATCTGGTGGCATATCATATGAATCACGGGGTTGTGCTTTAAGAACTACATGCCAACCTTCATTGGCAATATCCTCAACATAAAAAACTTGTGATGCTTGGCCAGCAAGTATAAAGTGGTCATTCTTTTTTAGCAAGTGTCGGTAATTAATACTAATAAATCCATATTTGTCTTCTTTCAAAGCTGTCTCTTTTCCTTTGCCATGCACATCCCACCACTTACAACGAAAAAGAACAACCTTTCTTCTACCAGGATACTCTAATTCGACAACTTCAACCAAAGCACCATAATAATCTATATCTCCACCATCACCAGCATCACCAACAACTGCAACCCCACTACTTTGAGTTGACAAACAATTATCTCGACTTTCTGTATGAAATCGATGTCCATTTATGACAAATCCAGTAAAACATTTAACAATCTTACTTGGACCACGAGATAGTGAAAGTAAGTCATCATCTTCTCGATAACTCTGATAAACCTAAACAAAACCAAAATATGATCAAGTCATGGAACATGTAATAAAATGAACCAATCAAGATATTTAAAAAATAAGGCAAGATATGTACGTACTAGAGATTGGAACCACTCGATAAAGTTCTTATCTTAATCTTTATCATCATAGTGACTTGTGGGTTCTCTCACGAATTCATTGTAGTCCCTACATTAAAATATCATAAATATGATTAACGTTGACTAACTATAGTAAATTTATTAGCAGAATCTTAAACTTTAGTGACTTACTCAATGTGTGGTTGCACTTCATCACAGTTCTTTAGAACATAAATATGAGCTTGCAACCACTCACGTTCATCAAGGTAGAGGGTGGTGGCAGCACCCAATGCCCGCCCACTATGTCTGAAAATAGATAGTTGTGCTTCATTACATTCTCTATTGTCATCTTCATAATTTCTTTCAAGGCGATTAAACTTTGTCTCGAAGCCTTTTAGATATCTTGAGCAAAAAGTCATGCATTCATCTACTATATATCATTCACCAATTGACCCTTCTGAACGTGCCCTATTTCTGATATATGACTTATAAGTATAAAGCTGACGCTCCACTGGGTACATCCATCGAAATCGAACAGGCCCTCCAAGTATGGCTTCAGATGCTAAATGAACTACTAAATGCAGCATAACATCAAAAATTGAAGGTGGAAAAATCTTCTCAAGCTTACATAACGTAAGTGGAATCTGCTCATCAATTTGCTTAAGTTCATCCACCCTTAATGTCTTGGCACATAATATAGTGAAGAATATGGAAAGTTCAATAATTGGTTCACACACTTTTGCAGGAAGAAGGCCACGAATCGATACAGGAATCAAGCGCTGCAAAAGAACGTGACAGTCATGACTCTTTAACCCCAAAATCTTACGCTCTTTAAGATTTACACATTGAGAAATATTGGATGAAAATCCATCTGGAACTTTTAACTCCTTTAGAAATCGACAAAATTTGCTTTGCTCTTCTTGGGATAAAGTATAACAAGCTGCTGGCATCACAAGTTTATCTCCTCTCTGGATTGGATGTAACTCCGGTTTTAAACTCATTGCTTGTAAATCGAGACGGGCTTTGATATTATCCTTTGTCTTTCCTTTAATGTTCATGATTGTTCCCAGCAGACTATCACAAATATTCTTCTCAATATGCATGACATCTAAATTATGTCGCAATAAGAGAGTTCTCCAATATGGCAAATCAAAAAAAATACTTTTTTTATTCCAATTATCTCCCCGTCTTTCGTGTGATATTTTAATTTTCTTCTCTGGATGATTGGTCAAGGTGATCCCTATAAGATCCTCCACCTGCTTAAGGATGTCATCTCCTATCAGCTTCGGCGCTGCATAACCTCTCTCCCTAGTGCCATCAAATGATTTCTTATCCTTTCTCCAACTGTGATTTTCATCAAGATAGCGACGATGCCCCATATAGCTCTGCTTGCCTCCATATTTTAACCTGATAGAGTGAGTGTGCTTATTACAACAAGGACATGCTAATTTCCCCTTAGTGCTCCATCCAGATAAATTTGCATAAGCAGGAAAATCATTAATAGTCCAAATTAGTGCTGCACGTAAAATGAAATTCTGTCTCAGAGATACATCATATGTTCGAACGCCTGAGGCCCACAACTCCTTTAGTTCTTCTATCAATGGTTGTAAGTATGTGTCAATAGCATCTCCAGGACCAGTTGGACCAGGAATGAGCATAGATAAAATAAAATTAGATTGCTTCATGCACATCCATGGTGGTAAGTTATATGGTACAAGTAAAACGGGCCATATGCTATAAGAAACTTTTGAATTTGTGAAAGGTTGGAAACCATCACTTGCAAGACCGAGCCTAACATTTCGGGGCTCTTCGGCAAAGCTTTCATGTAGCTCATTAAAGTTTTTCCAAGCCTTAGAGTCAGCTGGATGCCTCATCACTCCGTCCTCAACTTGTCTTTCATGGTGCCATCTCATATCAGAAGCTGTCTTCGAAGACATGTAAAGCCTTTGCAATCGTGGCTTAAGAGGAAAATATCGTAATGTCTTTTGTGGTATTTTTTTACCATTTGCCTTTCGCTTGATCTCTTTTCCATGTTTATCAAGTTTCCATCTAGAAGCACCACATCTCTGACACGTATCAAGACCTTCTTCATTTTTCCAAAACAGCATGCAAGAGAATGGACACGAATCAATTTTTTCATATGATAGGCCAAGGTCTCGGATTAATTTTTTGGCCTCGTCATACGAATTAGGCAGTGTTGATTCCCCTGGCAATAGCTCCTCATTCAAAAACTGGAGCAACATTGAGAATGATTTATTACTCCACCTATTTAGGCTCTTTATGTGAAGTAGTTTCACTAAAGCAGATAACTTTGAACATTTAGAGCCTTCATACAAAGGTTTCTCGGAGTCACCTAAAAGACTGTAGAATTGTTTTGCATGTCCATCTGGTTCCTGCTCAAGAATATCCTGACTCGACGTGGCATCAGGTGCAACAACGCCAGTTGAATTATGAAATAAATCTCCAATCATTTCTTGCATTTCATCGTCACTCTGGCTTTCTTCTATCATTTCTTCTTGTTCTTCATCTTTTCCAAGCCTTAGAGTCAGCTGGATGCCTCATCACTCCGTCCTCAACTTGTCTTTCATGGTGCCATCTCATATCAGAAGCTGTCTTCGAAGACATGTAAAGCCTTTGCAATCGTGGCTTAAGAGGAAAATATCGTAATGTCTTTTGTGGTATTTTTTTACCATTTGCCTTTCGCTTGATCTCTTTTCCATGTTTATCAAGTTTCCATCTAGAAGCACCACATCTCTGACACGTATCAAGACCTTCATTTTTCCAAAACAGCATGCAAGAGAATGGACACGAATCAATTTTTTCATATGATAGGCCAAGGTCTCGGATTAATTTTTTGGCCTCGTCATACGAATTAGGCAGTGTTGATTCCCCTGGCAATAGCTCCTCATTCAAAAACTGGAGCAACATTGAGAATGATTTATTACTCCACCTATTTAGGCTCTTTATGTGAAGTAGTTTCACTAAAGCAGATAACTTTGAACATTTAGAGCCTTCATACAAAGGTTTCTCGGAGTCACCTAAAAGACTGTAGAATTGTTTTGCATGTCCATCTGGTTCCTGCTCAAGAATATCCTGACTCGACGTGGCATCAGGTGCAACAACGCCAGTTGAATTATGAAATAAATCTCCAATCATTTCTTGCATTTCATCGTCACTCTGGCTTTCTTCTGTCATTTCTTCTTGTTCTTCACCAAACTCCGAAATGGACTCACCCTGTCTTTCGCCGTGATGACACCAAAATATGTAGTTTTTAATAATTCCATGAACAATCAAGTGGGTCTTTACCGATTCACGATTACCAGACTTCACATTGCTGCATTTAATACATGGACATCGAATTTCAAAGTCTTCATCCTTTTCATTAAAACTATCCAACAGCTTCTCATATGCATAGTCTAAAAACTGATCAACCCCTTCTTTATATTTTGGATCAAGTCTATCATCATCTACTAGGTCCATCCAATCTTTATTCGGCGCCATTTCAAGCTATGTACTAAAATTTCCTGAAAAATATTTCAACCTCTTCAAAAACTAAACACAAATAAATGCTTAATTTTATGTAAAGACTCATAAGTTCAGATATATGGTCATTCTAATGCAAAGAAGTTCACCTATATATGGTGTCATTCAGAAAGTATTTATTTATGCAATTATAGGGTCAATTTAAAGACAAAAATACTACCATATAACAAATTAGTAAATAGAAAAAATTAGTAAAAAAAACTCATTTTCCTTTCAAAGCACATGTGATATAGGAACTATGATTATAACTAACAAAATGACTTGTTAATGGAAAGTGGTATGTCCAAGCTTGACAAGTATGTCTGAATAGCTAAAGAAATAATCATTTGAAATTCATTTTACTTAAAGTAAATACCACACATGTATAGGGTATATAATTGCAACATGTATAGGGTATATAATTGCAACATGTATATGGTGCTTTAAGGCAAAGTGCAAAGTAGGGGAAACTGTAGGTAATTGAGTGCAATTAAACAAAACAAGGATATTAATTGTAAAGTAGGATATATAATTGCAACATTTATATAATTGCAATATGTATATTAATTACAAAGTAGGGTATATAAATTGGTATATTAATTGGAAAGTAGGGTATATAATTGCAACATGTATAGGTAATTTATGGAAAAGTGCAAAGTAGGGAAAATATAGGTACTTGAGTGCAAATTAAACCAAGCAAGAATCCCTAATATTTCTAAAAAAACCCTCACAATCATATCAATAACTATAGGTCCTTTATGACATAAGTGCAAAGTAGGGTGTGTAAATATAGTTAAGGTGAAAGTATAGGTCCTTTTGTGCAATTAAACTAAACCACGACTGCCATTAACAGACTACCTCAACGACGATGGGACGGCGGCGGGGGCTAGAGCGGTGATGAGGTGGTGACGCTGGGGCGGCGGGCGACGTCGGGGCGGCGACGCTGGAGCAGCGGCGGTGCTGGGATGAGCGGTGTCGTGAAGGTGATGACGAAGGGTACGGCTGGGGATCGATGGCGTGAAGGTATTGACGAAGAAGATGAAGAATTTTAGAAAATATAAGCTAGGTTAATGTTAATGATATGGAGGCTGAGAGATGATTAATCAGAAGTTTGGGAATTTTAGAATACGGGTTTCGGGTTTGGGGATTTTGATTGTGGGTGTTGTTAATTAATAGTAATAGGTTTAACTATCATTCCTATTATGATTAGGAGTATCATCAATGATGGTGATGGAACCCTTCGTTATTCAGGAGACCCAATAACGACGATATTAGGATTAAATTAATGAAGGGACTAGAAAACCGTTACCCATCTCACATCATTCCTATAATATTTGTAATCACTCGACGAAGGCTTTAAAAACCCGTCGTTATTACATGCACATTAACGACGGTCAACTGATCCCTTTACTAATTTTGGTCGTTAAATATCAGATTTCTTGTAGTGAAAGTAGTGCCCTTGGCAGTATCCTTAGTCAAGCCGGAGATATTAATTGTTGATTGGGGGAAGGAGGCCAACCACTTTCTTCTTGTTCTTTAAGTAGAGTGGATAAAATATAATCAGTGAAATTGTTGATCCGATCCCAATCAGCTTGTTGTGCGCTGAAACTTTCTCAACCTGAAAAACGTAGTAAGGACACATCAACTATCGCAATGTGTCATACCTCTAGTCATTCGCCCTCTTCAACAATTAAGTTTAGAGACTGGTTGGTGTGGGAACATATTCTTCGCAAGGGAGTTCCCCTATCAGGGTAAAAACATTCTGGTACGTGTAGGGGTTTATACAACTCTTACGATCCCCAGGAAAATTAGAAATACTGGACTATACCATTTCTGTGTCTCCTTGGGAGGTCCACCATTGGATTGGGTGGACCCATCCTAGGGTTGATTTGGTAGCCACAGGGTCGATATAACCCATCATCATATCCAGCATTGCGGCTCTAGAGGATGTGTTTCATAGTTCGCGCCGTCTTCAACACCTTCACTCCTAATATCCGACTTCAAACTCATTGATGCGAGGGTTGTCGCCTAAGATATCAAAGTGGATGGCGCATGGCGTTCAATTTTTGGAAGATAGTATAAAAGCCGTCAGCAATGCGGAAATACCAGTGTTAAGATTCGAGCCCCCCCCCCCCCCCCCCCCCCCCCCAATGTCTACGCGTACCGATAACTTCGACCTCCCATTTAGAAATCAAGTTGTCGGCAAAATGGCCTTGTCACTATCAGACAATAACTCACCGAAGGTCTTCATCCCGATTGATGTGCTAATCACCAGCAAGGCTTAAGCGCGGGTTCTGTCATAACCTCTCGAAAGAGGTCGGACCCTTTTTATTCATACTCAACTGAAGCTTTGAAGCCCTCTCTGGGCCTATTAATTAACTCTGTGGGCTGGAATCAGGCTCATATCATATACCACTGCTCTAGGGAAACAAGATAGGAGTTCAGTATGACAAGTCAAAAAGAATTCAAAGGAACTAAAAAATTGACCAAGTAGTGTTGAACAGTCGCGAAGCTAAGTTATGTCCGCGATCGAGTCATGTGCACAATGTCCATTATGTTCGCGATAAAGACTTTATATGTTGTCAAATTTATATCCGCAGTCAAATTCAAGCTAGTGCTCTATGTTCCAGTTCAAAGAGCAAGCTAAATTATGCTCGTGATTAGTTTAGCTCCGCGATTACAACCTCGCGATCGGGCGGACGTCCCCTATACAAAGTACAAAGTTTAAAATCGCGATCAGGCATGTAACCGTGGAGCTTAGCTATTACCAATTCAGCCATCACAGAAGGGGATAAACCCATGTATGTTGGCTAAGAGAGCCACCCACCTCCGACCATGGGTTGCTTCTCTCTCGGACTAAGTAGGATCTTGGCTGTTGTTGAAGCCTCGACGGCGAGGTCTTGACTATCTTTATTTTGATCGGCCATTGGTGTCGACAAGTGAGCTCAAGATCAAGAAAAATCACTAGAGAAGAAAGAAGTTCAGTGGAGATCTTAGGATTCTAGGGTTTGTGTCACATCTAGGACCAACTATCATATCCCAAGCACATGACCAGGCTATGTAGCCAATTTAATTGGGATAAACTTCATCAAAAGCATATATTTAAGCCTGCAAGATTGGTTTATACATCACGATATCCATCATCCACAACATCACAAAATATTACATTATACGACAAATACGACGGAAGGAATATACAAATACCAAGAGATAAACAAGCACCATAGATGTAACTACTAAGATAAAGGATCTCAAGTCTGATAAATGTAGGCGTCAAAAATTGCCCACGGATTCCCGCATGCGGCTCGAGACAGAGAGAATACGATGAACGTCAGTATCCGAGTCACGGAAGCTTAATTGACGTTAATGAACGCATGAAGTAAGTCGACGAACCGTGTGAAGCAACGAAACTACGGAATAGCGAAGATACGAATTGATCGGGAGATACGCTTCGCTCACGAAAGATAAAGCACCCCTCGTGTCCCATGTAATCCGCATGTTATTCAACATAGAAGCTTGTAGATCTCCTCATCAGCTTTCATACGCACTTTGAATGGCACAATTCCGAGTTCGGACGACAAAGATTCAGCGGAAACAAACGGGACGTGCAAAACAGCGCCCGGAGCCTCAGCGAAGACACCGCGAGTTTCTCGGCCTCAGCGGAGACACCCCAAGTTTTTCAGCCGTGGCCAAGACACCCAAAGTTTCTCGGCCATGGCCGAGACACCCCAAGTTTCTCGGCCGTGGCCGAGACAGCGCGGGTGTCCGCAGACCAAAAAATGCAGTTTGAGCTGTTTTGAACCGTTTTTTCGACCGTTAACCACCTAGATTTGTTCCAACTAATCTAACATCATCTAAGAATGTGATAAAGTAGTTACAACTTAGGATAAGATTAAATCAAGTTCTAGGGCCTTCATTTGCACAGATCTGAAATTCTCGAGCGTCGTCAAAGCCCTGCTGAATTGAAGACTGAAGGAGCATGAATTTTAGAAGATAGGAGGAGATCGGATCAGGTTCTTCGGCATAAAGAAGAAGAGTTCGTCAGATCTACAGTTCTTAGTTTCTTCCCTTAAGATCGTACCTAGCTGCGATCTTGAGAAGAGTGGTTATCTCGCTGTTGCTAAGATAGTCGCTTTAGTTTCTTGATTCCTTCGTGAATCAACGAAACTCCGGATCGATCTAATCGTTTGGTAGTCCACGGATATCAACGTCCCCGTCACAGGAAAAGATCTCACGCAAGCAGCGGGGGATAAACATCTGTTGCGTTTGTTTGAGGAAATTGTAGCTTTTAAATTTTCATTGTGTAAAGGTCTTATAAAAAGATTATTTCTTTTGAATTTATTGTAACACCCAAAGTTGTAATGTATTCATCAATAAAAACAATTTTCACACCAAATAAGCTGGTGACCATAGTGGGAGCCAATAACCTCGCTGCCGAGACTGTCGTGCCACAGCCGTCAATCAAGATCCATGTGGATGAAGAGGTCGAATACTAGTTCGACCAGCAGAAATTTGAGGAGTATGTCTCCTCCTCCTCCTCCTCCTCCTGATCATCTTCTCCTTGTAAGAGCAAAAAGACTGCTTCCCTTAAGAAGGTTCGTTAGTCTTCAGATCTGAAGATTCGGGGTGGTGATCTTCACCCAGTTGCTGTTGAAGGCTTCTCTCAGACGCTTAAGAAGGTCGGATCCGACGTTCATGACAACTCCTCAAAGGTCAAGGAG